TCACTGTCAAAGTGATATCTTTTAGTGCCTAACTAAAAATATGAAAAACTACCAGATATTAACAGATAAAAGCTAAGAAAAGTAAAAAAATATATTGAGATTTAAACAAAGTTGTTGTATACAGATGTTTTAACCTCTCTCTAGATCAGCAATACTTTTTTTCTACAGGATCTAGTTCCTTTTCTTCTACCAGGGAATATGTAATGGCCCAAACAATGGCTTTTTGCTTGGCAGCAATATCTGTAAATGAACAGAGTCCCTGTGAAGATCTGAGCTTTTCCCAATGATAGTAAGAATTCTTACTGGTGGTGGTTATTATTCCCCAAGAAGTGACTTTTATAATTGTATCTTGTGAACTTATGTGAGAGGAAACCAGGAACTGTGTTATAATAAGTAATAAGACCCTGCTATATGATTTCTGCACTGTGAGCTGATATCAGAATTACTCTGTGGTGCTGAAGACGAAACTCCCTCATATATCTGGTAGAATCTTGTGTTGTTACAATTTTCCAATTGTATATTACCTATGCAAATGCTTTCTGGAGGATTCTCAGTGTGAGTGAGATGGGGAGGAAAGCTATAGCCTATTATTATGCAAAATGTCTCTGAAGTGGTTTGTCATGGTCTTAATTCACCTGTGTGTATTTAAAGGTAGGAAAAGAAACAAAAAAGACAATTGATCTCTTTTAGGTGGCCATATACGTATCAATTTGTGATCAATCTAGGTACAAGCATTTGGTAAACAAGCGATTGATCATGGAATAATGCAACACATGTGGTGTCAAGATAAAATACAATCAATTAGATACAATATTTTAAGAATTACCATTTAATTGATCAGTGTTAGGATCGTTTGTCTGACATATGCACATGTGTGTTCAATCGATCAGAAATGTTCGATAAAATTCTGGCGCAACCTTGCAGTGTCAAAATCTAGAAAAAGCTCACTAAATTAATCGAATGGAGGGGCTGTGGTTTACAATTCTTATTCAATTTGATCACTTTAGTATCATCAAACAAGCAACTAAATAATCATATCAGTATGTGTGGATTATAATACACTAGGGCATTTTTCATCTGTATGCAAACATATACACGTAGCACTAATTCAATGGATTGTTGAATCCTGCTGCCCCTCCCAGTGATCATCAACCCTTGACTGAGCCTAACACCTCACCACACCAGTAGTGGTAAAGTGAAAATGTTATTAGAGCAAGAATGAGCCCTGTAAGGGAAGTTCTATTTCAACAGTTACAACAATAACAGGGTTAACCAGATTACAAACACAGGAACAGACAACTTTAAGACAGGGTTTATGACTCCCATTCCAAAATCTTCCTGCCAGTCATCTCCTTTCTTTGAGTGGGGTTGCTGCGATTGAGTCACCAGAGTTCGTTTAGTAGGAGGTAAAACAGTTGAAGGTGACTAGACTGGGTAGCCTCTTGCACAACTTCACTAAGAAGCAAGTAATGATTTTGATGTCAGGTCTTCAAAGGCCCTGTCTTCCTTTCTGGGTGAATTTGGTAAACATAGAGGCCAAGCAATTGGGCACAAATGACATATGGCTGGAAGCTCTATCAGTCAACTAATTTGTGCTTTCTGTGTACACTCAGGTCCCTTAACAGCACCCTGTCACCAGGCTGTAGATCTCTTGTTTGTTGTCCTCTGGCATCAGAGACAGCTTGAGCCTTCCCATAGTCAATTTTCAGGCTCTTTGTGAGCAAGTCAACGGAGCCCCTGTTGGTCTTTCTTCTCCGATTTGTGAATGGGGTAATTCTTGGCAGGAGGAAGACTCCAACTTATATGTCTCAGATTACCAACATGCTCTTGATACAGCATTCTGCTGTGTCCCTCTCTGCTTGCACTCATGTGAAGTTCATAGGGCTGAGAAGGGTCATCATAGGCCAGAACAGGATTTTTAATTAGACTCTATTTAGCCGTTGAAAGGCCTGTTCACACTGGTCAGACTGCTCTATTCTGTATTGATACCCAAGACTTTCTAGGCTCTTTAGCTTGAGAGCTCCTGTAATAAGAGCAGAATCCCAGGATTGACAACATCTCTGTAACATTTCGGTGGCCTCAGCCAAGTGACTGCTTGGAGTTGGTTGCCACTCCCTCCATGGAGACTACATGCCCAAGCTAGGTGACCGAAGGCTGAAAGAACTTTAACTTTATGGAAAGCTTCAGTCCTTAGCATTGCTTTAACAATTTCCCATCCATTGCTTATGCTCCTCCAGCATCCTTCCAAGACAATAAGATAATTCAGATACACCAGCAAATTTAATTTCATATCTCGCACGGTTCGCTCCATTGGTTGCTGAATGGACACAGAGATCCCAGTCAAAATTTTAGGCATATTGTTGATTCTGTAATTGCCAGGGGGGGCATATGATGCTATCCACTCCTTAAGTCCAGTATGGTGAATCTTCTATGCATACAGTGGTATACTGGTCTGTATACGAACCACTATTTTTTCAAGTCACCACATTCTTCCTACCCCATCTAATGAGGCATAATATTCTTGAAGTAAGCCTCTGTACACTGGCTGCAACATAGGGCATTCATTCTGACCAGCTCTTTGTAGATCCTGGGGACCAAGAACATACAATGGCTAGCCTATTGAAGGTCCCTGTCTGTCCAATGACTAAGGAGTCAAATGACAACTCTGCAGGTAACTTATTTGCCCCAGTATCCCAGAGCTCTAAGTCCTTCAACTCCCATAGAGTGAGGTGCTTTAGGTGCTTGTCATAGAAATCTTAATACAGCAGAGTTACTTAGGTACCTGAATTGAGAAGGGATCTCATGCAAATGCCTTCTACTTGACCACACACTACAGGAGAGGAGCCTACCAGTTTATCTGGAAATTTACTAGAAGTGGCTGGAGTTTCAAATCCAGCTGGCTAGACTTGTATCTTCCTCTTTCTCTTCTCTGCACAGCACAGCCTGCCATGTTGCTCTCTCTGCTCCTGTCTCACAGCACAGCCTCTCCACTCTGCACACACTACACTGCAGCTCTTGCTCAGTCAATGGCCAAAGGGCTGCAATGATTTCTGACCATGTGGCTCTGCATCAAAAGGGCCACCAGCCAGGGGTACATATAAATATATGAGACATGGGGTTTTCTGTTGATGATTAGGCAAACTCTCTTCCAACAGACATTGCTTAATAAAACCTCTGTAAACAGCATCTGTCCTTTTGTGTGCAGTGGTAATTCTGCCTGCTGCCGATCTAGATTCTGTACATGCTACACTTCTTAGAAACTCAACGGTCGGTGACAACAGCACAAACAATATTCTAAGCAGTAGTTTCCTTGGGCCAAATAGAAGGATTGTGGAAGGAGGGGTAAGTAGGAGGGGGGGGGGCGTCTATATTGTTTCTCAGACCCCATTGGAAAGGGTATTTTCACTTCTTGTTTTCCAAATAGGTGATTTTTTTTTTACATAACTCTTCAATCATCCAATTCCCTTTAGATTGTTTATTTCATTTTTAAATACAAATTGAAAGCACTCTGAAAAATGATAGTTGTATGGCTCTGGGACACATTTGGACACTGCTGGAACCTGGAAGGAAAATATTAGTGCAATTTAAATCAACAAACTATTTTTTACAATGAGTCTGTAAGTTTATTTACATTTGACTTTCACACCTGCACACACGATGAACTGGTTAAGGGTCAAATTAACCCAAAGAACCATTTTATAATGGAGGGGGCTAACATCCACTCCTGGGCACCAGGCACCAATGCTTTTGGAGGGGAAACTTCATACTCTCAAAGTACCCACCCAATATTGAAAGGCATGTGGATTGGAACACACTTTCTGCCCCCATGCTGTGGTGATACCAGCCCTGCATGCCTGATGTGTTGGGCTGGTTAGCTCTGGAAAAAGGTGAAGCTGTTTTGTTTTTGTTTGTTTTTTTACATTCTTATTTTAAAATGGTAACCTTAAAAGTGCTGAAACTAAGTTTAAAATTACAGGAAAAGGCAACATTCACCTTTTTTTTAAAAATAAGGTTACATTATGTGCGTGTTGTTGTTCATTTTGAATGGAACCCCAATGCCCTTAGGCAAGGAAGCTCGAGTGCACATGTTTTGTAGCACACCTTAATGCAAGGTTACACACTTGGTGCAACCTTTAGGCACAAACCTTTATGCAACCTTTGTGTTTAGGCAGCCCATTTTAATGGGCTGCCTAAAAACAACACCTGGTATTGCATGAAAAAATATACGTGCATTAATGCAACACACCCACAATGGAAATATGTAAACCAAGCCTTAATCTGTAACCTGAACCCCAAATCATTACAATCAATTTAACCTGTAAATCTTAACCCACCATTTTATTCTATACCTAATACATTATGCAATAATTTGTGTTTGTTGAGACTGAACATATTAATCAAATGTATAGTTTTTATCCTGCACAATTTCATATTTCTTTACCATTTATTTTGAAATATTACACGAGATGTCAATTTAACATTGCCTCCCTGATCTCTGAAGCCCTGTAATTTGTAATATTATATAGTATATGTTGATATCAGATTCTAATAACAGATATATTTTTATTTCTGCAGCTACCAAAAATCCAGATGGAGACTGGACATGCCACTTCAGAAATGTCTGAGAATTAAGATGTTAGCTGTCTATAAATGAACTGTTATTAGAAGCCTGCCTGACACATCAACAGACTTGAGGTTTGTTTGGATTTACTGTTACCTGGGAAACCTCAGAATTATAGGCTGCTTGCACAGTGAGATTCCTGAAAATAGGACCAAAGCATGAAATAGGTGAAGTCAAGCTAAGTTTATCTGTGATCCAGAGCCAGTTTTTCACATCTGAAAAATTTGTAGAAGGGCTCACAAACATCCAAGGAACCTGCTTGTTTTACCAACTCAGTTTCAGAAATACTTAGATTGCCCCTGTTATATTTGGCAGAGGAAACTGTCAGAACCGTCAGAACAAATTCACTAGTCCCTCTCAGACTGTGAAGAGCATTGTCATGGAGGAATATGACTTCAATGTTAAACAGCTGCAACCGAATGTTATATCGGTACGCCTCTACAAGCGAAAGGTTGGCGGCCTTGGGTTCCTCGTCAAGCAAAGACGGAGCAAGCCCCCTGTGATCATTTCTGATTTAATTCGGGGTGGGGCAGCGGAGCAAAGTGGGCTGGTGCAGGTAGGCGACATAATATTAGCAGTAAATGACAGACCACTTATAGATGCCAGCTATGAAACTGCCCTGGAAATATTGCGCTGTATTTCCTCAGAGACATTTGTCATACTCATCCTCAGAGGTCCTGAGGGCTTCACAACTCACTTGGAGACCACCTTTACTGGAGATGGAACAGCAAAGACCATTAGAGTCACTAGACCTTTGTGCACCAAGTCCAAGTCAAACGATCTGTCCAGTCAGAGCCTGTGTAGCAAAGAACAGCAAAACATGGTGGACAGTGCCACATGCTCAGCTGGCTCTTCTTGGCAGGAAGTCCACCAGCTTCTTCACTTAAACGGGCTTGATGGAGTCAAAGGAGATGACATCAGCATAAGTCCTTGCCTTAATGGGGGCACAGAAAGCAATGACATCCTGAAAGAGATTGAACCTGTAGTGAATCTGTTACAGAAGGCACGGAAGGCGCTAAACAGAGATTGTGAAGTGGAAAAGAGGGATGCAGAAGTTCAAGTAGAAAGGTATGGCAACTTTTGGATTATAGAAATGTAATGTGACCAGTCTATTATGCATTTATGACATGTCAAGGAAAATAACTACATTTGAATCTAATTCTATAGAATGTGATTATATGTATTTATCACGAGGAATTGTACTTCAGGCTATAAAAACTGTGAAAAGTAATCAGTTTTTTTACTTGACAGCATTTCCCCAAGAGCTTGATAAAAGTCAGCAAGGATTCAGGTTATTATTGTATCATTCTGACTGGAATTCCTTATACCCCTCAGCGTGCTCTCTCCACATCCATTGTGAGATATAAAAGGATATGTCAGCTCTAGTTAGGATATGCTGTTAGTCTTTTTAAGGACTGAGACGTAATCTCCTGATTCACACTTTACAGATGAGCATGCTTAGTTGTTACTTTTTAATTAAATGTGACTACTGTATCTTCAACTGATGATTTCAATATTATGGTTATTTAGCACATCCAGAATAAATAACAATCCTCCTTATGTGACAAAAAAACCCCTCAAAAATGTGTATGTAAATCCTAACAGGGCTATTCACAAAAGAGTGAAGAGTTTGGAGAAGGCAGGAGAAGTGAACAATCTAGGCCAAAATAGCTGAACTGGAAACATTGTCCAGTTCAGCTATGTTGTCCTAGATTGTTCACTTTTTCTGCCTTCTCCAAACTCTTCCCCCTTTTTGTGAATAACCCTGTAAATATACTGTATGTGCAATAGGCCTCCTATTACAAAAAAACAGCTTTATTTTTTAAGTAGGAAAGTAGAGGGAGTCTGGAACCCCTGTCAGCTTTTTATTGCTGTCTATGCCCCTGTTACAGATTATGTCTGTTGGGATGTTTGACTGATTTATTTCACAGTACTTGTAGCTAGATTGTAAAGCTTGTTTAGAATATGTAAAAACTTTAATGTCCAAAGACTAGGCACATATGCACGTTAAGAGATCTGTCACAAAGCTTTATATAACTGTTTAACAATATGTTGTATTAAATAGAGAGGGGTCTATTTATAATCAATTTGCAGCACAGAGCCATGCGCCCTGTGACTCCCTGTGAGCGTTCGTTCTGCACAAATGGAGACAAAAATAAATTATCTTAGTATATATTTTTTTCAGGTCGAATGTAAAATTCAGAAAGTACGGCATTAAGGCCACTAGAATAAGTAATGATTTCCTATGCTCCTCTTCTTCATCTAGTGCCCATAATGTGGTGTTTTCCAAATACTACATTTGGCGTGATCATGTGAGCATCACCCTATTCACTAAGCACAGTGAATATTCACTATGCAAAGTAAATCATCACTAATGTGTTTAATATGAATGTTGGTTAGTCCATGTGTTTCTCCTCTTTTATAGTGACACTAAACTCAGCAGGTAAATCTTAAAAATGCATTCAGGTACCTTAACTATTAACACACTGTAGCTTATTTGTGCATCACTCAGCTGTAGATCCTCAAATCATCTCTGAATTCATGCTGACATTGTCCTTCCTTCTGGAGGGTGGCTACTTTTGTTCCCCATGGTCCTTGTGTGTGTTGTAAAGTAGCCACCACACCAATCTCACTCCCGTGATGGACTACAATCTCAAGCTGGGGCTACTTTACAACACACACAGGGACTAAGGAGAACAAAAGCAGCCACCCTCCAGAAGGAAGGACAGTGTCAGCAACAATTCAGAGATGATTTGAGGGTCTACAGCCGAGTGATACACAAATAAGCTAAACTTTTGTTGATAGGGTACTTGAATGCCTTTTTCAGATTTAACTCCTGAGTTTAGTGTCACTTTTACTGTCCTCATCTTTTTGCTATTAACCCTTATTACCCAGCATGATCCCCCAGCTTCTGATTCAGTGTAGCAAATTGACAGTCTCTGACTTCTCAAGGGTGGAAATGGACTGCAGGGTCAAACTGTGGCAGCTAATCTTGGATGACAGTCAGGAATCTGGCGCAGTGCAAATGATTAGGAAGGTTAAGATTAGGCATAAACACCTGGGGTAAAACTTGTTTATATAAGAGATGCTACAACATGTACTTAATCATATTAATTACCACAGATTGTTGTGCAGTTATAAAATGAATTGCTATTCATATACCTATCTGTCTCATGGAGAGAGGTCCTTCAGGGTCTAAACAGTTGCCGCATCACTGATACTTCCAGGGGTTTTATGTATCACAGAGGAACAAAAAAATGTAATTTATAAATGTCAACCAAAATATATAATTATATTATTTTTATTGTGCCTTTAGACTTCCCATTTAGGTGATTTCTGGGTCTGTCTACCCTGGGCTTGAGCAGAGGAGTAGTAGAAAAGATAAATTTACTAGATGCGATGAGAGAATTGGAAGGAATGCTGATGATGGACCTTAGCTGCAAGAGATGTCCTAAAATCTTCTCTGTGGGTCAGATTTTCAACCAACAGTCAGGGCAGCCTTTTCTATGAAGTGATTAGATCTGAATAGCTTAGTTTTGATTTTTTTTTTTTTACAAATAAAACTTAACAGAATATTTCATAATGTGCATCAAACGGAATGATGAATAAGATATTTCAAAGGTGACAGATCATTTTTAACAGGCAAGCAGTAATAAATGGGCACGAGTGACAAAAGTGCTAGTTATTGCTAGTTATTCAATTAAGTCTAGGGCTCTATTGACTATTTCTAATCTCCCGATACCTAGAGATTTAACCACATATTGGCAGCACAGCTAAATAAATGTAATTCTAATGAGTCAGTCGTTGACAACTGGCTAACCTCCCAGTGGCTAGAGATTACATGTATTTGTATAGCCCTAGTCTAAGCAAATTTCCCTTTACTTCATAGAAAAGACAATGATCCTTTCATTGCACGTGATAAAATTGTATCTAAAACCAGGAACACAAATTTAAGATAATACAGCTTACCATTCCTAAGACATAGTAGATGCATTCGTTATTTATTTTTTTTAGACTTTGTTTCCTTTATTTTTACCTGGTGATTCTGCCAGTAGCACACTTTATGCCGTCGCACAGATCTGGGCATTTTACGGTGCATGGGCTGTATCCAGAACTTTGTCTGTCCCTGTCTGACCCGGAGTCTGGACACAGAGCAATCGCTGGCCTGCGCTCAGTTATGGCTGGCAGACGGTGGTTGTGCCATCCTCCAAGGCCAGTGTGACCACTGGAAACCATATCCTAGTGAAGGTCGGAGTTCAGTCCGTGCCCGGACCACGTTCTTCTTCAGTGATTGTTTGCTAGGACCAGTAGTGTCCTAGAAACCAATGACTTTGGTGCCCTCCTTATCTCCAGTGATTGGTTGCTAGGACCACTGGACTGTTCTCACAACCAGTGACAAATGTCTCAATGCCCCCAGCATTATGGACAACCTCTACTGCAGCTCCTGGTGGTGTCCATCCTCTCCTGCAGCTCCACTTCCCAGCTCCCACCTGTGGCCTGTCAAGAGAAAAAAAAAAAGCAGATTAGTGCCACATACCATGTGGGGACAATAAGGCTTCATTCAGGGCCTATTCACACCTATGCCATGCGTTAAAGCACAGTACCATACAATGCAGCTACTGTGCATTACCGTATGGCAGGTGCGTTGCATTGCATGCACGACTCTGCATGATTACATCGATTGCATTGCACCTTGAAGGTGCGTTTAGGGTGCCATTCAAATGAATGGCAACGCAACGTACCTGTTGCACTGTAATGCACATTAGGAGTGTTGCATGGTACTATGCGTTATTCGGTTCAGCCTCAGTTTTTAATGTAGCCCCTTGAGAAAATGAATTGCCCACCCCTGTGCCAGGGTAATAACACTCATTCACGTATCTATGGAGAAGAAGCATGTCACTCTAGGACAGGACTACAGAACACATCTCCCCCTGTCCTCTCCTTTATAACATCTCTACATCTCTGTAGTCCACAGAGAGAGAGAGAGAGAGAGGGAGAGAGAGAGAGAGCAAGGAACAATGTAGCTGATAACAATCAGAAGAGTCAGAGAGCACAGGAAGTTATCAGCCCACAAGATTTCTGGCAGGATTTGTTTGCACTTATCATACAGATATAACAAAACGCTTTCAAATGAATAACAGACGAAAAGGCAGCAAATAAGAAAAGTGCAGTGTTAGGGTTTACATTTACTTTAAAAACAAGATATAGCTGGAATTAAGAGAAAAAAATCTGCAGGCGATAAGGAAGCTACCATTTAGACAGCAATTTCCTATTAATGAATTGGATAAATAACACAAGCCACAATATCTGGTACAGAAAAGGGCAACAAATCTCATTATTGTTGCCATTATCATTGAGAATCTTGTGCGCAGTGGCGAACGTCACCTCTAGGTACTCAGCCGCTTTGTAGCAATAAAGTGTGAATTCCCCTCTGTTAAGCATTAGTTCCAATTAAGCAACTTTTTATCCCCTGGAGGAGACACTGCGAGATGTTTCGCTGTGTGTTACCAAAGAAGAAAAAAACAGGATATCACGGATCAGAGCCAAACCACACAACAGAATGACACTTAATGCATCCAGATAAGTGCTAATATAGATAGTCAGCCTGTGGTGATGGCTGACTTAATTGTTTAACATGTCACCAAACTGCGCGTCTTGACAGGAGCTCTTAAATATTTAATTGCTTGCTATATTACATTGTAAGCTTGAGGAAAGATTTGAAGTAAGAATAAAGCCACAGAGCTTGTCACTATTACACATTAACGTACGCATGCATACAGCTATATTTACAGAGGGGTTAAGGAGCTTGTTTAATATCTGCCACGAACTATAGCTATCTTATTGAAATCATTAGCAAACAGACATGACAGGATATCAGGAGATATCCACCAATAACAGTCACTAGCCTTCAAGCAGGATAACTGGACATAGAAGCATTATGAGCAGACGCTTTGGTGGCAAACGCAAACCCAATATGCCAACACAAAGGCCAGTCAACATGACTATGTCCGGTCAGGCTGAATTACTAATATGTTGAGAATTGTTAATCAATAAATTGTAGCTGTGTT